ACAGGACGCAGAGGAACGAACGCTCTGGGCGTCCCCGGTGAAGGCCTCCCCCGCGGCCGGGGTCTCAGCGGCACACACACACCTGTCCGCGGGTTCCAGTTGGAATGCGGCGGTGCCCGGTAGAGCCGGTCCTGCCTGGGGTGTGGGCGCCACCTGGTGGCCGCGTCCCGCACTGCGCCCGAGGCCGATCTGCCGGCCCAGCTGTGGGTAGGGGCCGCCCCCTGGACCAGTCTCTGACTTCACACCCGGGTAGGGCTGCGATGCCCGTTTCCCCCTTGTGTTCTCCTCCTCCAGGGGTCGTATATTTTCACACACGTAGGGTCTGGGTTTTGTGCCTCCATATAATCGAATCGAAGACTTGGCAGCCCCATTAGATCATGTCATCCACACGCTTCAGTTCCCTGAGGCCCCGTCTCTGGGGGCCGCCCGGGACAGTCTGGAGGGTCTGAGATGAGCGGGTATTCCCGAGCCAGATGCAGCATCATGCCTGAGACAGGCGGGGGCGGGGGGCCCTGAGATGGGCTGGCTGCCCACTGTCTGGCTGTCCCTTGTGCCCTCCTGGGCCCTGTCCCCTGAGCGAGCTCCCGGGCCCCCTGTAGTCACTGCACTGTCTGGAAGCTCTGGCCTGCTTTCTGCTCTGTGGTCGTGGGGGCTCCACGTGTCCCCGTGCCTGGGTGCCCAAGGGGGGATGGCAGCGGCCTGCAGCGTCTGGACCCCCTTCCTGAACGCGTGAGGACTGGGCATTGCTGTCCTTCCCACTGATGCCAGTGGGCGCCTCTCGCAAGCCACTCACGCTGGCTGGCCAGTCCTTGACCACATGTGGTCCTGTGCCCCCAGGAAGCAGCCGGGGAGTGTGTGGCCGGGCTCCAAGCCCCCGATGCCGCCTCCCGGGGCTCCCGGCGGGGAGCCTCTGGCCAGGCCTTTCCTGGGGCATCCCAGCCGTGTGAGCTAGAACGTCTGCTGTTCTGCCCTGGGACCCACTTTCTGGGCGCCCAGTGAGCCTCAGACACGGGTCATGTGCCTCCTCGGAGGATCTTCCAGCCCGCCTGCCTCTGGCTGTCCCGTTACTCGTGTGTGCGCTGGTCCGGCAGGTTGGACTGTCACGAAGGCTTTCGAGCTGCTCTTTGCCTCTGCTGCTTGGCGTCCTGGGCTGTGGGGGGACCCTGGGCATTTTGACATTGTTATTTTTTCCAGCCCACGAGCGTGAGACATTTCCCCACTTCTTGGTGTCTCCTTTTAGTTCGAGGTGGTTCACTTGTATTTTGTTGTGGCTGTTTCGGGGTCAAGTCCAGTAGCCTCCCGTGAGATGGCATCAAGGAGAGGATGAAGGTCGTGCTTTGGGTCAGCCGTCACTACGGGGTAGTATTCCGTGCTGGTGGAAGAGTGGCAGATGCCTTTGCTTGTGGCTGTTTTTTTCTGGCACAATTCATCAATGGGTCTGTTTCCTGCTGTCTCTAGTTTCTTTCTGTGCTGTAGCACTGTCCTTCGTTGTTCATCGATCTGCTCGAGCGGACCCAGTAACGTCTTCATTGTGACGCTTTTTACTGTGTGTGGCTTATCGAATATGTCACGGGGAGCTTGCCAGTCTTTGCTGTGCGGGCGAGATACTCTCGGTAGCTTGCGGGCTCTCTGAGAGGGGCGGAGGAATCGAACTCGGGTCGGCCAGCCCACCCGGCCGACCTGAGCTCTTTTTGTACGTCTGGTTTTGTGTCTAGGCCCCCAGTTTAGTTTCACTGGTTGTGTCTTTTTTTGCTGATGCCATTTTTATTCTCACAGCTTTATAAGGTAGTTCAGAGTGCGGGCACGGTGCTTCCAACTCTCTTCCTTCTGAGGCTTCTTGGCTCTTCGTGAGCCTGTAGGCACTAGGGTTGTTTCTATGTCTTTTTGCCTTTGAAATTTTGATCGGGATTTAGTTGTGTCTGCTGATTGCCTGGGGGCATATGAGCATTTTAACGTAAAGTTGTTCCTTCCGGGTGGAAAGCGTGAAAGTCTGTCTTTGCTTCTTTGCTTCTTCAGTGTCTTCTTGGGTTCAGGCCAGGAATGTTTGAATCCCTTGGTTGAATGGATCTTTGTTTCGTTGAATACCTTTGGGGTATTGCCTCATTTCTCTCTGTGTTCATTGTGGGGACCAGGCACATCGGTCTCGGGGTCCCTCCAGGAGCTGCCCTTGGCTCCATCCTGGCCTGTCTCCCGGGGTCGGGAGTCGGTGTATTGGACAGCAGTTGCTGCCAGGATGCCGTGAGCCGCCCCCTCCCCGCTGGGCTCAGAGGGCTGGAGCGCTGTGGCCCAGGTGTGGCCCAGGTGTGGCCCAGGCGGCAGTGTCCCCGCGGGGCAGGTTACGAGGTGCGTGGACCTGAGGGCAGGGGGTGGCAGCTCCTACTTGGGGTTTGCTCCCCGACCCCTGCCCCTATCTGGGGTGTTGGATACACCCCCCAGGGGACTTGGGGACATCGTGGTGCCCAAGTGCCTCCTGTCGTCTGTGCTCTGTGTATCTGAAGCCATTCTCTGCACGGGGCTCTTCCTGGAGGTGTGAGAGAGCCTGGGAGAGGCTGTTGGGGGTGGAGGGAGAGAGGGAGGGAGGGAGGCAGGGAGGGAGGGAGGAAGGAGGAATGGAGGGAGGGAGGGCTCTGCGCCGGGGTGTCCTGCCGCCCTCTCAGCTGCCTGTCATGCAGCACTGACTTGACTTCCTGTCCCCTGTCATGCAGTGGCGGCTTCACTTCCTGTCTCCTGTCAGAGCCACGGTGGCTTCCCTTTCTGTCCCCGACGGCACAGCGGTGGCTCCACTTCCTGTTCGCACTCAGAGCAGCGATGTCTCCACTTCCGTTCTCTGTGTGGCAGTGGCTTCACCTCCTGTCCCTGCCAGCGCAGAGATTGCGTTACTTCCTGTCCTCTGTCCGAGCAGCTGTGGTCTCATGTCCTGTCCCTGTCAGAGCAGTGATGTCGTCACTCCCGGGTCCCCTAGAGCAGTGGTGGCTTCCCTTCCTGTCCCGTTTGTGCAGTGATGCCTCTGCTTTCTGTTCTGTCTGTGCAGCAGTGGCTGCACTTCCTGTCCTCTGTCTGTGCAGTGAAACCACCACTTCCTGTCCCCTGTCTGGGCACGATGGCCTCACTTCCTCTCCTCTGTCAGGGCTGTGTGGCTTCACTTTCCTTTCCCCCGTCGGAGCAGAGATGGTCCTCTGTGTGGTAATGCCTTCACTTCCTGTCTCCTGTCAGAGCAGCAGTAGCTTCACTTCCGGCCGCCTGTCAGAGCAGTGATGCCTTCACTTCTTGTCCCTGTCAGAGCGGTGGCACCTTCACTTCCTGTCCCTGTCAGAGTAGTGACGCCTTCACTTCCTGTCCCTGTCAGAGCAGTGACGCCTTCACCTCCTGTCCCTGTCAGAGCAGTGACGCCTTCACCTCCTGTCCCTGTCAGAACAGTGACGCCTTCGCTTCCTGTCCCTGTCAGAGCAGTGACGCCTTCGCTCCCTGTCCCTGTCAGAGCAGTGACGCCTTCACCTCCTGTCCCTGTCAGAACAGTGACGCCTTCACTCCCTGTCCCTGTCAGAGCGGTGACACCTTCACCTCCTGTCCCTGTCAGAACAGTGACACCTTCACTTCCTGTCCCTGTCAGAGCAGTGACGCCTTCACCTCCTGTCCCTGTCAGAACAGTGACGCCTTCACTTCCTGTCCCTGTCAGAGCATTGACGCCTTCACCTCCTGTCCCTGTCAGAACAGTGACACCTTCACTTCCTGTCCCTGTCAGAGCAGTGACGCCTTCACCTCCTGTCCCTGTCAGAACAGTGACGCCTTCACTTCCTGTCCCTGTCAGAGCAGTGGCGACATCACTTCCTGTCCCTGTCAGAGCAGTGGCGCCTTCACTTCCTGTCCCTGTCAGAGCAGTGGCGCCTTCACTTCCTGTCCCTGTCAGAGTAGCGATGGCTCTGCATTTTGTCCCCTGGTTTTTCTGTGAGAGCAGGCAGCAGTGAGGTAGCGCCAGGGAGCCCCGGGAACCCCAGAAGACGGACACAGTGCCCTGCTGTCATGTTGCATCTGCTTCTGGCCAACAGTCTCACTTCTCTATGCCTGGGGGCGGGGGGGTGGCCCCCTTGTCTGGGTCACAGTTTCTGTCTGAGGTAGTTGGCCGTCCACACGGGCAGTGCCCCTTCAGCCTGGTGCCCACACACCTGTGTGGACCCAAACTTGACTGTGTGGGGCTTGGGGACCCTTCCCAGAGGCCCCCGCACCCACCACGGACTCTTAGGATGGTGCCCAGCACTCTGTGACTGTTTGGGCACTTGGGTGCGGGTTCCAAGGCCTCAGTCTGGACACTTGGAGGAAGTGGGGTAGCGTGGACGGCTCCTCTCCCGGTGGGCCTGCTGGAGGCTCAGGCCCTGCCCACCCGTGACCGTCATAAACAGGGCGCCTGTGGCGTGGTCCTCAGTAAAGGTTGTGCGACCCACACCTACCCCTGTGCCTCAGATTCTCACGCTGCGCCCAGCAACCCACACGGGCTGCCGGCTCCCTGGTGGGACGCGGCGTCCATTCGTGGTGCAGCAGGTCTGGCTCTGAGGGGTCACTCGTGCAGGTGCAGGGCAGGGGCCAGCAGTGCCGGGGCACTGCACAGAGGGCGACGGGGAGGCCCTGGGTGTTGCATCTGGAGCTTGAACCCTGCCGGGGCACTGCACAGAGGGCGACGGGGAGGCCCTGGGTGTTGCATCTGGAGCTTGAACCCTGGATCTGAGGAGGGGCCACGTCCGAGCCGGGGGCAGCCGGGGGCGCTGTGCCTCGCCCGCCTCGGGGCGACCCGTCCGTCTGCATCTCCGCTCCGCAGCAAGGGTTGTCGGCCGTCACGGGAAGCCGCCTGCTGTCGGAAGCGTCTCCAGATGTCGGGATGACAGCAGTCCTGTGGGGACGCGCGTGGATAAGCCGCCGTCACCTCCCCCGCCGGGCTCCCACTGCGGGTCCCGCGTCCGCTCCGTGGTGCGTGATGGTGACCGACCTCTCACGTTTTCCTCCTCCAGGGCCGGAGCCACGTCACTGCTGCGTCTCGGAGGAGGCGGCGGCCCCGGCCGCGCTCTCTAACGGAGCCCAGAGCCACCCGGTCGGAAAGAGCCCGGCGGAAAGAGACCCCAGGGAGCCGCGCGCCCGGACGGCGCCCCTCCCCGGGAGCCACGGCCGAGACCCCTGCCGGAGGCCCGAGCCCCCGAAGACGGAGGCGCCCGGCCCCCGCGAGCCCTGCCCGGACGGCGCCAGGAAGCCGGTGGCCGCCCCCGACCTCACCCCGCTGGACCTGAGCGAACGGTCCACGCGGGGCGGCGCCGGCCCCCGGGAGCCGGCCTCCTCGCTGCAGGCCGCGCTCGCCGTGCACCCCTGCTCCTACTGCGGCCACAAGACTCACTACCCCGAGGTGCTCTGGATGCACAAGCGGCTGTGGCACCGTGTGAGCTGCCACGCCGTGGCCCCGCAGTGGGTCCCGCCCAACGGGCACCGCGGCATCCGGAACCACCTGGTGTTCCTGGCCCGCAGTGGGCGCACGGGCCCCCCGCCAGCCCTGGGCGGCAAGGAGTGCCAGCCGCTGCCCATCGCCCGCTTCTCGCGCACGCAGGTGCCAGCCGGGGCCGCGGGGCCCAAGGGCAGCGCCTCCGCCAAGGCCAGCGGCCCGCCCAGGAGCAAGGAGGGGCCCTGGCCGGCCGGCCCCGAGGGGCCCCGGCAGCAGCGCAAGCCCAGCCCGGCCCCTGAGCCGCCCGCCGCCCCGCCGAAGCCCAAGGCCGGGCCCGCCCCGGGCAGCGGCGTCCCCCGCGGGGCCCCCTCCACGCCCGGTGTCATCGCCCGGGCTGGCCCCCCGCCCCCGGCCTGCGGGCGGCCCGGGGAGAAGTTCCCGCCCGCCCCCTCGGGGCCCCCGCCGAAGCACAGCGCCCCGGACCCCCCGAAAGCCAAATTCAGCCCCCAGCCTCAGGGTCAGCCGCACGGGAAAGGCGACGGGGGTCCCGCTCTACCTCCCCGCGAGTCCCCCTCCAAGGCGGGCGGCGGCGGCTCCCGGAGCAAGGCGGCCCCCGCGGCCGCCCCCCTGCTGCGCGCCGTCACCGAGGAGCCCGCGGCCGAGGGCCACGAGAAGCGCCTGGACATCCTCAGCATCTTCAAGACCTACATTCCAAAGGACTTCGCCAGCCTCTACCAGAGCTGGGGTGCCAGCGGCCCCGCCCTGGAGCACAGAGGTAAGCCGCCCGCGCGCGTGTGAGCGGGCGCTCCACGGACACACGCCCCGCTGCCCCGGGCCCATGGCAGGCGCGGGCACGAGCGGGGTCGGGCTCGGCCCCTCCGCCCGCACCCCACTTTCTGAGGCCCCGGGTGCTCAGCCTGTGTGATTGCCGTCCCCAGAGTGAGTTTCAGGGTCCAGGGGCTTCGCGGGGTCGAGCCGGGTGCAGGTGGGACGAGGCGGGAATGCCCCGAGGCTGCAGCCCCGCAGAGAGCGGCCCCCCGCGCCCAAGCCAGAGGCCAGCATGAATGCTGGGCACCGGCTGGGCCAGCCGTGGGCAAGGCGAGTGCCCTCCCCGCTGTCCTCTCTCGGGCCCTGAGGACTTGTTCTGTAGGAGGTAGCGGACGCTTGCCGTGGGTTGGGGCTGGCTGGCAGAATTCCGTGGCACGCTTTTTGACGGGGACCTGCCCTGCACTGGTCGGGGTCCGAGGGCCACACCTGGCTGTGGCGCAGGCCTGCCGTGACAGCCCTCACTGTCCAGCCACCACCTGCTGCCCCTTCGGACGTGGCACTCGGCCTCCCCCTGCCAGTGCCAACCGTCGCATCCCTCCCTGCAGTAGCGGCTTGGGGTCAGCGTGGACCCGCCCCACACCACCGCCTGACCACGCGCCTCCCGCCGGCTCAGGCCCAAGTCCCAGCAACTCCCCCATCCCGTCTCTTCCTGCCCCTTCTGGGGGTGTCTCCACTGCCTGGGTGGGGGGTCCCCAGCCCTTGGGCCTGGAACGAGCTCACGAGAAGGACCCGCTGGGCAACAGCAGGGCCGAGAGGCCGTGTGTCACACGCAGGTCGGCGCCCGTTGGAGGGGAGAACCCGCAGCACTGAGACCGGACTCCAGGCAGGGCCCTTGGGTCCCTCTGGTGACCCTTATTCCTGTGCCCCTGGGGGGTCCTGGCCCATAAATGCAAGGAGTTGGGTGGTAGGTGGCTCGTGGGAGATGGGGCGGGAGCTTTGCTGAGATCAAGGGGTGGAACAAGGGCCGGGCCATGTTCTGCGCCTGCGGCTCTTCTGAAATTCCTGTCAGGGCTGAGGGTTTCTCTGGGGTGACGAGGACGTGGGTGAGCCTGTTCCTGAGGCGACGTGGGTGCGGCCAAGCCTGCCTGAGGTGATAGGTGAACCTGTCCCTGAGGTGCTGTGGACACAGATGAACTATCCATGTGGTGACACAGATGTGGACGCAAGTGGGCCCATCCCTGGGGACATGGACATGGGTGAACCCATCCCTGAGGTGGTGTGGATTCTGGTGTGTCCCTGAGGTGATGTAGACACAGGTGAGCCCCTCCCTGAGGTGACATGGACAAGGGTGAGCCCGTCCCCGAAGTGACGTGGATGCAGGTGGCCCGTCCCTGCTGTCCAGGGCGTGGCCTGTGGTTCGGACGTTCAGGGCTCCCCTCACAGTGCCCCGTGACCTTCCTGAAGTAAACTCGGCGTCTCACCCAATGCCACATGGGGGATTTCTGAACCCCATGCGCTGGGCTGCAGTTTCCGCTCCTTGGGGACGGCCCCAAGAGGTGCTTGAGGGATTTGGGGGCTCCTTTGATGCTTCTTGGCCAACTGGGCTGGGTCAGTGCTGGCCTCTAGTGCGAGCATGAGGTGGCCAGGTGGCTGCAACCCCCAGCGTCTGTGCTCGCGGCCCCTCGGCGTCTGCCGCTGGCAGGGGTGGCCGAGGCGGGCGGGGCTGTGTCGTCCCCCTGCCCCGAGATGCGTCTGTGCCTGCCCATGTGCCCGCAGCATTGCTTTCCTCGGGCTGGCCTGGGTGGGCTTCCGCTGGCTCCCCGCCCGCCTCTGCTGACCCCGTCCATCTGTCCCCCCGCTCCTGACTCGCTCCTGCCCTTCTTCTCTGCTCGGGCAGTGCCAGGCTCTTGGGCTGAGCCGGCAGTGGGGGCGGCCCCGCCAGCCCTGGTGCTTCTTATCTCGGCTGCCCGCGGGGTTGGGACCTCGGTTCTGCGTGGGGAGGTGACCCTGCGTGCACAGGCCGACCCTTCCCCAGGGCTCCCCGCCGTCTCCCCACATCCACACGAGCTCAGGGCTGGCGGGGGCACGACGGACCCCGCTTCTCGCTGCTCCTGGAACAGCCGATCATGAGGCTTGGGCAGGAGGTCCGCGCCGTCAGCTCTGCGGCCTCCACAACCTCCTTGTGGGTCCCAGCTGCTGGGGGGTATCAAGGGGCTGGGTGCGTGCGCTGGGGTCTCTCAGCACCTCCGGGTCAGGGCCCCCCTGGGATGGCCGAAGTTGCGGGCCTGGGGTCCCTTCTGCTCGGAGCCAGAGGCCATTCCGCTGATCCGGTGTCCAGACAGCAGCGTCCAGGGGCGTCCCTGCAGGGCATCCTGCAGGCGGGGCGGGAGGAGGTGGTCGGCCAGCGGGACGGTGTGGCGCGTTTGTCCCTAAGACCCCCACGGCCGCTGTGTCAGTAGGGGTCGCCTTCATCTGGCACAGGCGGCCTAGTTCTCGTTTCTGTCATCGTTGAGCAGAAAACGCTGACAGTAGGAGCTATTTTGAGGGAAACTGTGCTTGGGCAGCACGTTCCTGTCGGGGGGCTGGGAGGGGCTGGGGGTCGGCGCTGGCGAGACTGGCTCGCCCATCTGCGACGGCCCGGGCCCAGACTCGAGCTGCGGTGTTGCGGTGTGTTCGGGTTCTGGCCAGAGCCTCAGGACTGGTTGGCCGTTGACGTGGGTGTTTCCCATAGTCCGGTCGGGGAAGGGACGCGGCTGGCGAGTGATACTCTGAGTACGATCCTCAGGGTAATGGCACCGCCAGTGTCCGCGGCCCCCCGGCCTGCACCTGTGTGGCCTCCGCATCGGGTGTGGGCCGGGCCGGGCTCAGGGGGGCCCCATGTGACGACGCATCTGCCTCCACACCCCGCGGGGTCACCTCAGCAGTTTCCTCTCAGAAAGCCAAGCGGACCCTAAAAACCCTCTGCTCTCCGGGGGGTGGGGGCGGCGTCACCCGGCCTAGGGGTTCCCAGGACCAGCAGGCGGATGGCTGCGTCCACACCGGAGGTGGCTGTACCGGCTCGGGTGCCAGCCGTGCTGGGGAGACTGTGCGGGTGTCGATGGAGCTGGTGTTGGGCGTGTTCCCCCGTCCTGCTGATGACCGTGTTCCCTGTCTCACAGCAGGCGTGTTCCCCGAGCCCCTCCGGCCCGCCCCCCTGCCCCGCCTGCGTGGGGACTCCGGTTCCACTGCAGAGGCTGGTCCCGCTGCCCCCTCTGCAGTGCTCCTGTGGCCCGGCCGTGCGCTCGGGAGCACTGTGGCCCAGAGGGCAGATGCGGGTGGTGTTTGCGCCCACGCCGGCTCATACCCGACCTGTCCGGCCCCACAGACGTCCGACTCTCCCAGGCTGCAGTCTCCGTGGTTCTGGCTGAGGTTCTGGCCCTGCCCCCGAGCGCGTGGTGCCTGTGTTGTGCTGTCCCGAGCCATGGTGGGAGGGAGCACTCTCCCTGGAGCACCTGCATGACAGGGCTTGGCCGGGGCTCTGCGGCACACTGCCCGTTTCCTGCCTGCATGCCCCGTTCACTGTGAGTGGCTCTGGGCGGGGCCATGGGTGCTGCTGGCCGTGCCCAGGGTGCCCCTCGGGACAGTCCTGGAAACGCGTCTGGGCTAGGGAGAGGGCCTGCGGCAAGGGCCCGGCCCCAAGGCCCTCCCAACTCCAGTGGGCGCGGTCCCCGAGCCCTGAACCCTGCACCAGGATCAGCGTCCCTGGGTGCTGCGGGGTGACCCCCACGCCAGGGAGATGCCGTGGGGACGGGGCCCAGCTGAGCCCGCCTGGCCCCTGGTCCCAGGGCTGCGGGATTGTGTTTCTGGGCAGGGCTGAGGCGCACCCCGGAACCCGGGACTCACCCGAGCTGTTCTTTCTCTCTCCCTCCAGGGGAGAGGCCGTTCTAACCGACACACCCAGACAACACCGGCCGCTCGGAGACGGAGCCGCAGACAAGCAGCCCACCCCGCTCCGGCCACCGCGTCAGCCCCCACCCGCGCCCTTCCCGCTGCCGAAGGGCTGCCAGGGCCGCGTCCTGAGCCTCCCGGTGTGGGCAGCCTGTCTGAGCCGTCTCCTCCGCACCCTGTGCTCCTGGCCCAGGCCTGGCCCTGCCTGTTGGGGACCTGGGCGGACCCCGGCGTGCCAGGCCGCAGCTGGTTCAAGACAAGCTTGAGACACTGGAAGAAGAGACTGAGGGGCAGGAAGCCGCGGAGTGCGGAGGGGTGCGTGGATGCCGCCCCTGCCCCCGAGGGCGCCGCAGAGGAACGGGCCGGGGGCCGTGGTGCTGGGCTTCTGGACGCCGGGCGGCAGGGTTCGAGTGTTCTGTGGGAGTGCAGGGTGTGTACCCCCCGCCCCGACCGCACCCCCACTGAGTCTTGGGGCGCCCCGCCGTGTCTGCGGCCGCGTCCGGCTCGAGGAAGACTAAGGAGAACGGCTTGGCGTTCACTCTCAGGACCTTCCTGCCTGGGGCTGCGTTCGGAGCTGCCTGCAGAGGACACCGCCCCGCCACGTAGCCATGGGCCCGCGGGGGGACCCCGCAGCCATGCCGAACCCCGGACAGATCCTGGGTCTGGTGCTCTGGGACCTTCGCTCTCCACCCGACCCCTTGCTCTCCCTCGTGCCACCCGCAACAGGCGTCCTGCCCGGACCACGGGGTCCCCGTGCTCGGGGGCCCGGCCGGGCGGGCGTCCATACCTCTTCCTCACTCCTGCAGAGGCGTCTCTGTGGGGCGGGAGGCCGAGTCGTGTGCAGTGCAAGACGGGCCGAGACGCCGGCTCTGCCCCTGTGCCGTGACACTGTGTGGCCATCGCTGAGAGGTCCAGTCTTTGCACATGGGATTTTATGCATCGTCAGAGTTTCTGCTGCCTTGAATGAAAACGTCCTGTGAAATTTTTTGCAAAAGCTTTACTAAGGTTTTTGTTTTTGTTTTTGTTTTTTTTCCCAATTGTGAGATTTTTTTTTGTAAAGGCAGGTAACGGATTAAAAATCAGCATGCTAAATATATTTTCCAGAGAAGCAATAATTTTACAGTTCAGACCTGACCGTGACCTTCAACGCCGCTGGTGAGAGCAACTGTTGGCTCAACAGTCGCCGACTGAGAACGGGCTTCTGGCACAAAGACTCGCTGACACACTCGCAGACACAGCCCCTGACGTGTGGTTTTCCTGTTGCGACGATTCGTTGAGTTGTTTTTATTATTATTATTATTATTATTACTGTTGTGTTTCTAGTTTGTGCTCGCTTCCGGACTCGACTCGTTACTGCAATTACTTGACGCCGGGGCCAGCCGCTGCTGCCCGACGGTGGCCCCGGCTGGTTCTCTGTGACCGCGGTGTCGGTGAGAGCGACTCTCTGTGCAGACACCGCTTCCCACTCATTTCCCGGATGCTCTGAGCAATCTCTGCCCTGTGGGTGTCACGGGGCCGGTCCGAGCTGAGACCGACCACCGTGGCCTTGTTGCAGTTCTGAGCGGGATCACGGGGCCCCGTCCCTCTGGCCACCCGGGGGGGGGGGTCACGGTGCCTGCGTCCCGGAGCCTGGACCGGCCTCACGGCTGGGGCCGTGTGGACCCACGTGGTCGAGCCGTGCCACTGTCCTCCTGAACGGGCCCCGGCAGGACGGCCGAGACGCGCGCACGGACGAGGTCTCTGTGCGGGCTGAGGGGCGCCAGGACCCCCGCCGACCCCCAGCCCCCGCGGCCCGTGTCCTGCCCCGCCCGCCTCAGCGTGCGTTCCCGCGTCTGTCCGCTCGACCGTAGTATTTAATACGATTTGCGTTTCCTTATTTATTTAGCCTGCGTGTTCTGACGCGCTTTGGTTCCAGACCGTCTGCGATGACTCGGGACACTTTCCGCAGGGTCTCTCCTGCCAGTCACCTCCGACTGTTACCGACTCCTACTACCTCCTCCCACCTGCTGTCCCCTTGTGTCTTAACAGGAACGTCCCAGTGTTGCTGTCTGCGGGGCGCAGACAGCGCGGGGCCCGCCGGTCTCCGCTGCCGCCACGCAGCCCGCCGCACTCGCGCCCGCCCCCCGGCAGCGGAACGTTTGCACTCGGAGAAGCGGGCGCACACGTCCACGCTCGGCCGCGCGGCGGCGCCTGTCCCGGCCCTGTGGGTTTTTGCCTTTTCGGTTTGGAGAAGTATTACATGCTTTAAGAGGTTCCCCAGATTTGCTTATTTATTTTTTGAGAGCAAGAGTGACACTGGTTTACTGACAAGGTGCTCAGGAAAGGAAGGACCGGGGGTCGCGGCGCGCGCGGGTGCAGCCGCGGGCCCTCGAGGGGCTGCCACTCGGGCCGGGGCCGGGCTGCGCGTCGCCTGTGTCCTCCGGGTGTCGAGGCCAGATCGTCCTTCGTGGAAACGGGAGCGCAGCAAGGCGCGGAGGCCCGGCGGCCTGGCTCTCCCCTTCAGGATGCCCGTGAAGGCGCACGTGTGTTTTACTGCTTGGAGCTTGGCTGAGTTTCCTCACAGGACATTCTGTTCACTGAGCAAAACCGAGAGCGAACCCCCGCCCCGGGCAGGGTGGCGCCCGGCAGAGCCCCCGTCCGCACCAGGGGACGGGCACTTGACATGTTCCTTCTCGCCCCCCCCCCCCCCGACTTACCTTCTGAGGCAGTAAAATGCAAAAGACCATAGAGTTTGTATTTCTTTTTTTAAAATACAATTTATAACATTATATTTTGTACTCTTTATATTAGAATTTGTAACTAGATCGATGTATTTAACTCTATTTCTGAAAAAGATAATTCGATGTTTCAGTTGTGTGATAAAGATATTTAGATAAAGCATATTCATTCTATTGGAATTTGAAATAAATAAAGACATCTTGGAGTTCTCGAGCTGGTCAGACCTGCTTCCTGCTGGGGGCGCGGGCTGGGCTGCCTTCCCCCGGCCCACGCACCCCCGGGTGCCCTTGGTGTGGGCGCACAGAGTCCCCAGCGTGTCTGAAGAGGCAGAGCCCCCGAGAGACACCTGCTCTGCCCTGGGCTGGGCACCCGGGACAGTCTGCGACCATGAGCCTTCTGCTCCGCACGGCTTTCTCTGCCGAGTCCCCAGACAGGGGCTTCCCGGGATGCCAGCCGCCCGCGTGCGCCCACTCCAGCTGGGCATGGCCTGCAGGGCTGGTCTCAGCACCCCGTGCACAAGGGCGGGACTCGGCGTGAAGGGTAAGACGGGAGGGGGAGGACCGTCGTGGGCAGGAGCAGAAGAGGGAGGACTCGGGGAGCAGGAGTGGGGGGGGGACTCTGGGCAGGAGCAGAAGAGGTGGGACTCGGGGAGCAGGAGTGGGGGGAGGACTCTGGGCAGGAGCAGAGGGACGGATGGGGGCAGGAGGGGGGAGGACTTGGGGCAGGAGGGGAGGACTCAGTGGGCAGGAGTAGGAGAGGGAGGACTCAGTGGCCGGGAGCAGGGGGAGGACTCAGTGGGTGGGAGCAGGGGGAGGACTCAGCAGGCAGGAGCAGAGGACGCAGCCTCTGCCTGGCCCTGGGCATGGGGTTGCAGCAGAGCGCAGGGAAATGGGACAGACGAGACGGTGGCCGCTGCACCCCAGTCAGTGGGCTGGGGGTGCTGGTCTTGCGTGGGGACCACACCCAGCTCACTCCTGCTCTGCGCTTGGGTCACCCCCAGTGGTGCCATCAGGGCACCAAGCCCGGGTCCTGCCTGCTGAACGTCACTCTGACCCCAGTAAGCTGAGGCCACAGCCAGGAGCGCCCCCTCCCGGGAAGCGCAGTGCACAGACTCGTCCCTGCTCAGGGCCGCAGACGTGGCCTCTGGCTGGTTCCCACGGCCGTGGTTCCCGGCCTGCTGCTTTTCGCCGGTGTGTGACAGTCGAGCCCGCCTCGTGGAGGTGGCACTTCCCCTACGGGCGCCTTCTTGACTGCAGACAGCACAGGCACCCGCCCACGGTTCGGCCCTCAGTGTCCTGGAGTAGCAGGCTGGACGTGGCCCTGGAGGCCCGAGCCTCAGGGTGAGCCGGGGCGCCCCCTCACGGCCGGGCCAGCTGGAGCAGCGCCGAACCCCAGGCCTGAGACCTGGGCTCTTCGAGGCGCCCCATCTCTCTCCGGCTGCCGAGTTTCTCTCCTGCATCTTCTGCAGGCCGGGCGGCCTCGGCCCCCTGGTGCCCACGTCCAGCAGGGCAGCCACACCTGAGCCCTCCCTGGGCCGTGCTCCCACACAAGGAAGGCGTGTTGCCGTACTGAGAGGCCCAGCAGGGGGAGGCTGCAGGGGCCACGCAGCAGCCTGGGGGCCAGCGCCGACACATGGCCCTCTCTGGCCACCTGATTTACGCCTGCTTGTGTCAGCTCGCCTGGCGGGCAGAGTCCAGAGGGGCCCGTCCTCGGTCCTCCAGGGCAGGGCGGGGTCGGCAGGGGGCAGTGAGGCCAGGGGCTTCCACGGTCCTTTCGTGGCTGCCCCGAGGGGGGAGGGGGCAGCCTCGGGACCCCCCCACGCCCTCACACCTTGGGGCTGCCTGGTCGGGCCACCTCACTCTGCTGCCCTTCTCTGGCATTCGCAGGGCGCACACGGTGTGTGCCGGCCGCCGGGCAGCGAGGATGGCAGCCGGCAGCGTGGAGGGGCCCAGTCGGTTGCGCCCGACACACTCGAGCTCTCGCTGGAGTCTGGGCGCGGGGTCCGGGGAGTCGGGGTCGACGCGTGTTCAGGAAGTCCACTGGGCAGCAGGTCGCCCTGGAGTCTCTGCACTGGGTCCCTCTCAGTCGGGCAGCCCCCAGCCCAGCTCACGGCTCTGCACTGAGGGAGGGTCCCTGGGGCCATATGAGGCTGTACACGCCCGTCACACCCCCCTCCCAGGCCCCTGACGGCCGGGCCCCACACTCGGACCCATCGACAGCACACAGCTCTGTGCTCCCTGCTCTGTGCTCCCTGCTCTGTGCTCCCTGCCCCGTGCTCCCCACCCCGCCCTGTGCTCCCCACCCTGTGCTCCTTGCCCCATGCTCTCTGTCTCCTTGGTCTCACTCACCCTACTGGGCCATTTCACTCCTC